CTCTGTATGAAGACTCTTATGCCTTGCCCACCCCCCCCCCCACAGGTGTGCTGAACTATCGGAGACCCAGTCTAAGGTTTTATCTGAGAACCCACTGGAGCCTAGGAAAGCCTGAGGGTGGGGTCAGCATAACCGCCCACAGATTTGCCAAAAAAAGAGAAGGCTGGAGAAGCTTGTACTAACAGGAAAGGTTTATAAGATGGCAGAGGCAGGGATGACACTAAATCACCAGAACTCTCCTTAAATATGTGGGCAAACTCATTGCTGGGAAATTAACTGTTCTTCAGCCCATCCATCTCTCCTCTCCATCCATCCACCCATTCACTCTGCGTAGATGTGGGGATGGAAGGATCCGTTAAAATGAGTGACTCAGCAGCTTCAGCCTGGGGGGTGGTCCAGGGGAATCTGAACATCCCAAAAGGAAGTGGGAGGGTCAAGAAGAAGATCTGACGATGGAAAGATGAGAGAGGAGATGACGGGTGGGGGTGATAACAGCTAATATTTATAGAGTATTTACTGCATGCCTGAAACTGTTCTCATTCCTTTACATTTGTTTTCTGACTTAATCCTCACAACCACCCAATGAAGTAGGTACTCATATCATGTCCATTTTGCAGATGGGGACACTGAGGTAGAGAGAGAGGAAGTCCTTTCCTCAAGGTTACACAGCTAGAAAGTGGTGAAGCCAAGGCTGAAATCCACACAGCCCGTGCCCAGCATCCTCCCTCTTCACCACCGTGCACACTGCCTCTCAGGGTCATGTACAGAGATGCGGTACATGAAGTGGAGTAAAGGGGATGAGCTTGCCAAAGGCAGGCCTGTAGACAGAGAACAAAGGATGACCTGGAATGGGAACATTTTAAGGGTGGAAGGAAGAGTAGCCAGAGGAAGGAGAAACAGGAGGAGTACTGAGACGAGAAGGTGTCATCACCTGCCAGGGAGGCCAGCGTTTACTGAAAGAGAGACTTTCAAAAAGGTCAAGCGCTTCAGAGCAAACAGAGGTAGGAAGAGAATGGTTGACAAAAAGCTCACTGGACTTGGCACTGGGGTTTCTTGGTGATCTTTAAGACAATGTGTCCCACAGAGGGGTGGGGCAGCCCACAGAGGGGAAGGACCGGGGGAACGGGTGGATGTGATGGTAGAGAAATGGGTTTTCAGAAGCTTGGTCATGAGAACAGGAGACAGGACAGCAGCCAGAGGCAGAAAGCAGGATTCAGGTAAGAGTTTGCTGTAGGACAAGCGGTGAGTGTATTTGTAAGCCAGCCAGCGCAGAAAGAGGGGAGAGTTAACTGACAAAGCAACGCTGCCAACAAGGTAGGACACAGCTTTCTCATTCCATCCGCAGGCTCACAAGAGCGAGCCAGGGCGCACTAATGCAGAGCACTTACTGATTCCCAAGGACTTCGTCTCTAAGCTGGTTCCCGACTGGCACAGAATTATCCAGGGAGTTGACCTGGGGACACCAGGATGGTGGAGGGGTAAGCTACACAAACAAACCAGAAAAGCACCTAGAGTCAAGGAATTCTAGAGTCAAGGAGTTTTAGGAACCTGTGGCTAAATAAAATTAAACTGGCTTCTTTAAAGTCTAAACTTTCTTGCATCATTTTCTGCTAATGGACAACCTTAAACTCCAATTAAAGGATAAAGAATTCTGAGTTTCTGGTCTCAGGGACCACAGAACCTTTGTGTCTGGGAATATCTGGCAGAACTACTGTTTCTCAGAACACATTCTGGGATATACCGTTCTTGTGTGTTCAGGAAATGAGAATGTTCATTCCATCAGATGGAAACATCCCCATTCGTTTTTGTCACCAGTTGCTCAAAGGAAACCAAGGGTAAAGGGACTTTAGTAAAATCTGTGGGCTTCTTTCTTCCTTCACGGCACATTCTAACAGCAGGCTTACACCCGTTCTCGATTCTCACAGCACACAAGAAACATCCTTCCACTGAAAAGCACTTGCAATGGTCTCTCAAAACACTGGCTTACTAAAGCTCAGTGGGGCTAAAGCATCTTTAAAAAAAAAGAAAACCAATTTTCTGCACTAAGATATGGTTAAAGGACTTCCCTGGTGGTGCAGTGGTTAAGAATCGGCTTGCCAATGTACAGGACGCGGGTTCGAGCCCTGGTCTGGGAAGATACCACATGCCGTGGAGCAACTAAGCCCATGCGCCGCAACTACTGAAGCCCGGGCGCCTAGAGCCCATGCTCCACAACAAGAGAAGCCACCGCAATGAGAAGCCCATGCACTGCGACGAAGACCCACCAAAAAAAAAAAGATACGGCTAAAAAAATGAACATGGTTCACACATTTTTAGACATTGCTCTGCTGTAATAGGCCTGGGTCCCCAGTGTCACTCAACTGGATGGTACTTCGCAGAGTGACTCACGCTCCAGTGCTCTAAAGAAGTGAATTCTTTGAAGAAAACTGTCCTTCATGTAAAATGTCAAGACAGACAGATTATAGTTAAAAAGGGAAGTCAGAGTGACACTGACCTTCACTGGGAAAATGCCCAAGTTAGAATATGGGAGAAAAATTAAAAGAGGGGAAGACGGATGCAGAGAAAGAAGGGAGGAAGGGGTGGGGGGGGGGGGGGAAGCAGAGCGGCCGTAAGGGACACAGGGCAGACGAGGGAACGGAAGTAAAGAGGTCTAGCACTTAATAAATGCCCTCTCTGTGTTTGGAAAGGGCACACAGAGGTGTTAGAACAATAATATGTTTTTGGAATTCCCGGGCAATCCAGGGGTTAGGACTCTGCACTTTCACTGCTGGGGCCTGGGTTCAATTCCTGGCCGGGGAACTAAGATTCCGCAAGCCGCGCAGCAAGGCCAAAAAGAAGTTAATAATAATGATAATAATTTTTTTTTTTTTGCGGTACGCGGGCCTCTCACTGTCGTGGCCTCTCCCGCTGCGGAGCACAGGCTCCGGACGCGCAGGCTCAGCGGCCATGGCTCACGGGCCCAGCCGCTCCGCGGCACGTGGGATCTTCCCGGACCGGGGCACGAACCCGTGTCCCCTGCATCGGCAGGCGGACTCTCAACCCCTGCGCCACCAGGGAAGCCCGATAATAATGTTTTTTAAAGTCACAGGCAAAGTCACTTGACAAGGGTTTTTGAAAACCACCAAATTCCCCTAGAAATATAAACCACCACTGGAAAAGACTCTGAAGAAGTCCGAGCTCCCTCAATGCCTGTGCTCTGGGGGTAGAAATCTACAAGAAACATGACCTGTGAACTGAACGATCAGAGAGTGCCCAGGGCAGCCGCATGTGAAGGCAGAGGTGGAAAAAAACAGAGGTGGGAGTTTCTGCCCACTACGTGCCCCTCTGACATTTCCAAAGGCACCCAACCCCATCCCTTGGCCTTGTCCCGGACCACACATCTGATAACATGGCACCAAGCACCAACAGCAAAGTTCACCCCTAGAGAACTGCAGTGTCAGCTCATCAGATACCCACATACGGTAGAGATATGAAACTTAGAAGCACAGTGGGAGAAGGAATGAGGAAGAAACACATTATTACTATTTCGGCGATCAGCTAGAACTCCCCGTGCTAACTCGTCAGGCTACTTCAGCCTGAACGATATCCAGTCTGGACGTGTTATGACAGACGCCACATTCCTGTTCAGATTGGCAGTGATTCCATTGCACGGTAGCTCCATTACCGTGATTGTAGTGCTTTCTGCGTCAAGGCAGAGAGCACTTATACTCAATAGCTGAAAATTACAGCCAGAAATCCACAGTAAGATCCGATAATTCTAAATGTTTGATATGGAAAGCTGAGGATGGGAAAACAATAGACTTGAGACAGTGGCCTTCCCAGGTTTTGAAGCCTGCGGTGGCAGGGGGCCCTTGTGGCACATGCACGTCCCTACACAGAAGAGCAGGAGACAGGCACCATCTGACCAGAGAGCAGGAAGAATCATTACATAAGTAGGATTTCACGCTTCGTCACTTTTTCTACAGGTGAAACCTGTTGGGGGAAAAAAACCCCAGCTTAACAGGCAGCAGAATCCTGGAGGGAGAGACGGGCAGGGAGTGACATAAGGAAAGCAGGCTTCTGGCAGGCCTGGAAGGGCAGATCGGCAATGACAGAGGCTCTGGGGAAACCAGATAAAACCAGAGATTATTCTGATTGAGGCTGGGGAGAGGTGTATGTGGAGAGTCAGAAATAGAACAATTTCCTGGAGATTTCTGTGAATGGGAAACTGAAGTTATTTAGCTGGAATGCAAGGGACCGTGGAGGAAAACATTTTCAACCTGAAATCTGAAGCAGATCTGGGGTCTAAAGAGAAAAGGATCAGCTTCCTCATGGAGCAAAGGAAAAAAAGAACACCCGTGTTTGCTGGGGTGGGAGAACCAGCAGGGAATGAAAAAGAAAAGCCACAAGGGAAAAAGCAAAATCATACAAGTCAGCTACGTTCTGTTACCCTAAATGACAGACTGTCTATGGCCATTTTCAAGAAACATCAGTAACGCTGAGTAGTTCTGACAGAGACTGTATGACTCACGAAGCCTGAAATATTTACTACCTGGCCCCTGACAGAAAACGTTTGCCAATCCGTGGTCTAGACCCTGCCTTGAAGCTGCCCTGATTCTAGGCAGAGAGCACAGTTTGCTGCATCCGTGGCGAGCGGAGACCCATAATTTTTTTTTTTTTTAACTGGAGAGTCAAAACCCTTTTATATTCACAAATGACTGAACCAAAGGTATGGTGACTCCAAGGTTCTTGGGTGTGGTAACAAGCAAATTCTTTCACACTCAGCTTCCTTCTAAATGTATAGGCACGAAGCAAGACCTTCTATTTCCTCTGCAGAACTTGTCAGCTATGGTCCACCAGTCCTACCACACCGAGGACAATGTGTACTTTTCCAAGCGCTTCAAGTTTCATCTGCAGCTAAGAGAAGGAAGATGCCTCCTGGACCATCTCTCCTTTGCACCTGTTGCCACTGCCCTTGTGAGGACGGACAAGTACCTCATTGCCAGGTCCCAGCGTGTTACCTTTTTTGAATGGCTCCCGGTTTTCCTCTGCTTCTCTGTTAACTCGATTCTGCTCTGGTTCCACCGCAGGCCCCTGGTCTTCAAGTTCATCTTCTGTTTCATCATCACTGTAAGGGACCACTTCGTCATTAGGCTGAGAATCCTCCTCAAATGTCGTTTCTGAGTCTCTTTTTGTATTCATTCTGCTGGCAAATTGGAACTACCTGGTTTAAAAGATAGGGAAACCAGAGTGAAACATGGCTCATACCCAGTTTTTGGTTGAATTCTGCCTGCATTCGGTTACAACGCTTTTGTGTGTGTGTGTGTGTGGTATGCGGGCCTCTCGGTGTCGTGGCCTCTCCCGTTGCGGAGCACAGGCTCCGGACGCGCAGGCTCAGCAGCCATGGCTCACGGGCCCAGTCGCTCCGTGGCATGTGGGATCTTCCCGGACCGGGGCACGAACCCATGTCCCCCGCATCGGCAGGCGGATTCTCAACCACTGCGCCACCAGGAAAGCCCCGGTTACGACGCTTTTAACAGAACCTGACTTACTAACATGGAAATATGCCTGAATAATGACCCCAAAGTTCAAATTATCATGCAAATAACAACAAAACCATTCATTATTGATTAAATGCTTGGGTGAGAATTTACAACTGTAATGTAGCTGCAAACTTTCTTTTTTTAAGGGTATACAGGCTTTAAGGTTGTGTTTCAAATCGTGGGTCTCTACCTAGCAAAATTAATTTAATTGGTTCACAACCAACATTAAAATAAAGTGAAACAGATTTTAAAATATCAGAGTACAGCACGCATGAAAAGAGTTAGTACTGTTTGGGGAACAGTTTTACAAAACAGACACGTATATACATTTATTTGCATCGTGGGTCTTAATGGAAATGAATTTCTTTTGGAAATTGTGGATTGCTGGCAAAGTTTGAAAACCACTGTCCTAAGATATCTGCTTTCTGCCAACGCTAATATTCTGAGCTTTTACTCTGTGATGCATTTAAATACAAGCTTAGGTCCTCAAACTTTACTAATGACTTCTTGAAAGCACATCCTAGCCTACTGCCTAACTGCCACCACCCACTCCCTATATTTAAAATTTGTGTTTGTGTATACACCACTGTATAAAGTGACACTTTCTAAGTGCCAAGTACAACCTCAGTTATATTTATATTAGGAAAATATTTACACTAATACCCCAGGCTTTGTGAGGACAGACATACAGCCTGGCATTATTTACATAAGCTTCATACCTACATGTCCTCATTATCATTAATAAAGGCAGCTCACATTTATTTAGTGTTAACTGCGTGCGGGGCTCCGCATGAAATGCTTTATAAACATTGGCTCCTTGAAATGTCCTATACCACCCTAGTGAAGGTGGTATTGTTATTTGTACTCTATAGAGGAGAAAACCAAACCTTTGCAACGCTGGATAACTTGTACAATAATGACTGAAATTTTGAAGCAAGAGCAATTGCTTTCCAAGGAGACATCTTTTATATTCTACGTTTATGTTACAGTTCGTTAGATATTTTCATCAAGTGTTAGTTGCCTTGAGTGGAACCATTTCGCTGGCTGCATGCTTTATACCAAATCTAGCATCTTGAACATCTAAATTTTTATAACCATAGGTGTACATCTAGGAAATGTTCAAATACTTATGTGAGGAATTTGTCCAATATTATTTAAAACAAAACCCAGAAGCAACGTGGATATCCAATGATTAGCAACTGTGTAAATAAATTGTGGCATCTTCACACAATGGGACAGTGCAAAACAATTTAGATCACGGTGGGACAAGTTTTTAATGACATTGCAAAAACCCAAACACATTTAGTTGAAAGGCGAGTTAACAATCCACATGTACAGAATAGTCCCAGTTATTCGCAGACATTTATTCATTTCCCCAAATTTCAACAACTGCCGTGCATGATTCTCAGTGAGATGATGTATGGAAAGTGCTCGATTTGGTATTTAGCCTAGAAAGTACTCAAACGTCAGTCGCTGTTATTGTTAACAATTATTTCCGTAATTAGAAAAACTGTGTTTTACAATAACAAATGGAACAGTGTGGGGAATCTATCCCTGTTGCCTTTTCCATCTCCAAAAATCACTTCTGAAATGCATGTGCCCCTCACTGCGAAGTAAAATATTAGAGTATTACAAAATATGGTTATACTTAAGCACAGGCGTATTCACAGTTAAAACCTTTAGTTGCCAAGTAAAACATTTTTCCTCTCTCCCAATTTTCTGCGGGTTAGTAAATGACTATTTCTTGGGAATTTACATGCGTTTAATTGGTCCTACTTGTGGTTTTATGCTTTAGCTAATATTTTAATATACTCCTTAAAAAATTCCCAAACTCTCAAAGGCAGACTTTCACCAGAAATTTTTCAGAACAAACATAATAAAAGTGGTGACCATTTATTGAGCACCTACTATCTGTCAAGCAGGAAAACCCTGAGAAGGAGATGTTATCTACCCATCTTTCAGATAAGGAGACTGAGGCTCAGCTAGTAAGTGGCAGACTTAGTCTCTAATCTCTCCATTACAGGGGCATAGAAAATATTGAAAAGTCTGAAAGCATCATAGAGAAAGTTTCTTTACTGTAGTACATATACACAACTAAATTTACCATTTTAACCATTTTTAAGTATCCAGGTCAGTGGCATTAAGTGCATTCTGTAGAAACATTTTGTAAGTGATCATTTCGTTATCATTATTGCCAAGCCTCTCCGTGCTTATTTCCCATGTTAAAGTCGGACCCAGGGGGACTTCTCTGGTGGCAGTGGTTAAGAATCCACCTGCCAATGCAGGGGACAGGGGTTCGAGCCCTGGTCCGGGAAGATCCCACATACCATGGAGCAACTAAGCCCGTGCGCCACAACTACTGAGCCTGCGCTCTAGAGCCCGTGAGCCACAACTACTGAGCCCATGCACCTAGAGCCCGTGCTCCACAACAAGAGAAGCCACCTCAATGAGAAGCCCGCACACCACAACGAAGAGTAGCCCCTGCTCGCTGCAACTAGAGAAAGCCCACACGCAGCAACGAAGACCCAACGCAGCCAAAAATAAATTAATTAATTAATTTTTTAAAAATTGGATCCAGGAAATTCCCTGGCGGTCCAGTGGTTAGGACTCCGTGCTCTCACTACAGAGGGCCTGGGTTCAATCTCTGGTCAGGGAACTAAAATCCCACAAGCCACATGGTGTGACCAAAAAAAAAAACAAAAAAAAAAGATGGAAGATGGAATCCAGTCCTTCGAGGTTGAAGGAGGAGACAAACAAAAAGGAAGAGATTTACAACCACAAGCACGGGATCCAAAGAAAGCAGACCACTGCACAACCAAGCAACTCAGCAGCCGAACACCTGCCACAGGCCAGATCTGGGCGGCTGACTTGGAAGGCTGGGTGGGGACCTCTAAGCTGAGCAGGAAGTTCTTTGCTGTACATATGTGAGTGTAATGCAGACACTCATGGAATAGTTTAGCTCTGCCATCTTAGGCTACCAAAGAAAAGTTAGCTAGAAATCATTTCTTGGAAGCCCTAGGTGACATAAAGCAGCTTTCCAGGTCTAAACCATGATCTCTGTAAAGCAGGCACTACATACATGGATTTGGAAACTTTGTAATGTCTCTTCCCATCACTCCAGCACGTCACAGACACCTGTGCATTTATTCAACCTCCACTGGGCACCTGCTCGGTGCAGACTGCTACCGGAGGCACTGGGAACCAAACCATCATCCAAGTTATTGAGGGATACGGGTAAGTAAATTATGTGTGACAGCCCCAGGACACAGCAAGGCCTGTCATTTCTCCCCAAACACATTCCTCCAACCCATTTCTTCCTCTCCATCTCCACAGCCACCACCCTAATGCAGGCACCACCATCTCTCTCCTGAAATGCTGCAGGTGGAGTCTAACAGGACTTCCCACAATCCACTTCCACCCGGCCACCAGAGTCATGCCACTCTCCTGCTTAGACCCTTCCTATGGGTTATGGACTGAACTGCCTCCCCCTAAAATTCAAAGATTGAAGCCCTAACCCTCAATGCGACTGTGTTTGAAGATAGGGCCTTTAAAGAGGTGACTGAGGTTAAATAATGTTATACGGGTGGGGCCCCAATCCAACGGGTCTCACATCCTTATAAGAAGAGGATAAACCACCCAAGAGCTCTCTCTTTCTGCACGTGCACAGAGGAAAGGCCATATGGGGATGCTGCAAGACGGCGGCCAAGGAGAGAGGCCTCTCCAGAAACCACACAGGAGGCACTTTTGACTCTGTCCTTTGGAGACTTACAGTCTAGACAGGAGTCAGCAACTTATAGCCTGAGGGCCAGATTTGGCCAACCATCTGTTTTTGTAACTAAAGTTTTATTAGAACACATCCTTGCTCTTTCCTTTATGTATTGTTTATGGCTGATTTTGCACAACAGAAGAGTTGAATAGCTGTGATAGACACCGGATGGCTTCAGAGGCTAAAATATTTACCATCTGGCCCTTCACAGAAAAAAAGTCTGTTGACCCCTAAACTAAAAGAAAAGATAATAAGAGACAGCAACAAAAGAAGTGGTCAATATCAAATGCCCACGGTCACATAAAATCATTATTGACCCGGATAAATCATGCATGCTTTGGGAATGTGAAATAAACCACCAGGTGTAGTGGTGGGGAAATGTCCCTAAATCGTACAGTTGCCCTATTGATTGGGAATGGTACTATTTCAACTGCTGCATAGCTGTTTAACTAGAAAAGACACACAATTCCAAACACCTGAGGTAACAGCACACCATCATCTCCCGTTTCCTGTGAGGAAGCTGTGGTCACGCATCTGCCAATACCCAGTTCAATGCAGTATTTCATCATTAATCCATGTGCTTATAATCTCGACATTGGATATAAATGTGAATAAATATTAGAGCAAGGAAGCAAAAGATTTATCAGGATTTTTAAAAAGTCATCAATGTGATTTAGCATTCAAGGATTCTTCTGGTCACATGATCTTAGGAAAATGTCCTCAGCTCCTGGTCAGGCTGAAAAGCAGCATGATTAATTGGAAAGAACATAGGTCTGGATTCAAACCACGGCTCTACCGTTCACCACTTTATTACCATTTTGGAAGCTCATTTTTCTCATCTGTTAAAAAAAGGGCGGAGGAGGAAGATGCCTTATTTCCCATCCTGCCTTCTGCAGTATTCAGCCCTCTTGGTTA